CAGTTGGACGCTTTGTTTTTTTTGTCTTCTGTTGTTATTGCAGATAACTACTCCAGAGACTGAGAGAATGTTCACTTTTCCGGCGTCTGACTGTTGGGCCTTCGGCTTTCCTCTGGTTACTACCCCTGCTTGCCCGGTCGACAGAGAAGTGACGGCTGTCTCTTTGTACGTTGCGGAATAAATGAAGAATAGGCATATGGTATTACAGTTTGTTTATCATCCTGCCTTTCTCGTACTGGAAATTTACAAATAACGCAGCTACAGGACATAAACCCAGTATTTTATTCTGTGAACTACTGCTGGTGGAACTTTGTGCAACAGTCAATTTTTTCGGTCAGCTCATTAGAATCCGAAGAGTATAAAAGGCTGAGATTTCAAAACTTGTGTGTCTACCAGAAAGCACACGAGAGACGCTGGAGTACCTACTGTATGAATAATTCGCGATTATCCTGCTGATACTAATGGATTTCGGCTTAAACGTTCATGCCGACTTTTGGAGTTTGATGCAAAACTTCCTTTCGAATGATTTGCATTAAGTCAACGCATAAATTACTGAGATTTGGAAGGTGACACAGGCCTCTCTGTCGGAATAATGGTGAAACACATTTCGCCCGCTTTAAGGCGAAGTTGGACATAAAGCATTTAGTTCAAAGAGGCGTGTGACCATTAAATTGTTTTCTACGAATCTGGGTCGTGCGTAAGCCCCAGCAGCGAAATGTTTGGACTAAGTTTAATCATTAATTTCTGGAGTTATGTGGAAGGCAATTAATACATGTGCCTCACGCGACTGATCCCACCACTCGTAATACAGTTTCACTTTAAGAGATGGCTTGGGGCTAAATAGCAGTATTCATGTCGAATCAAATTTATTCTATCAAGTCTTTTATATCATGGGCGATCTCCACTCAATCTAGTCTGGAAAGTGGCGAAATAATTTACCTGAGCCATTTCTCCCGGCGATATAATCACACTTTGTTGGTCACTTTTATTGCCGTTGTATTGTGGATCTCACAGGACCACTGTTGCTAATAATTGTACGGAGCGATTATCTTGTCCCTTATAACAATACTTATAATATCTACCACCAGCGGTGTCGCAAAAGTGAAATGTCAACGTGGTATGTCCTTGTAGTCGAGTCTGGGCCAAAATCTACGAAGTGAACAGCTGCGCCATTTGCTGTGGTCTCGTCTCACCCTTGTCCCGACAAACAGCAGAACGCCCGACAATGCCGTCCGGCTGGTAACTTGAAATTTGACACTACTGATCTACGTCGTATTCGCTAGAATGCACCCAATACCGCGGCAGGGGACAGACATACCACTAACTGCGAAGCGAACGTCTGAAAGGAGTTTTACGTCTTTCTGTCTACTATCTATAAATACGCAAATTTATTTGAACCTCGTGTTTTTTGTAGACGGTTATTTTTCTGAAAATGGCGGGCGCATTTTGCCATAAGGCCTGTGTTTTCGCACGCTTCACAAAACAGGAGCTCATAAGGAAAAATAATAGAATTTCTGCTCAAATTTGCAATAATTATTAGAGCTGCGCCGGATATTATTCAGTTTTCGGTAAACTCATCCTTTTGTCTATGTCTATACGAGTGTTACACAAAGAACGTTCCATTTGGAGTGAAAAAAGTACGAGTGAAACGCCCACGCACGAAAAAACATATATTTGTCTACTTAGACCCGGTCGAGCGCAGTCGCTTATGGGCAGCGTTTTGCTAAGTTGTTTTTTAGTGACGTTTTAAAAACGGATGCTGTTGATTAAAAATACTAGATTATAGGAATCCAAAAGACAAAAACATATGTCAGTCCTTGTCGGCAAGTACTCTGTCAGGTATATGAATATTTTGATTGCGACCAATCAGCACATCACGGTAAAACTCAGTCAGCAATTGTAGCTCAAATTGTGCTTACTAGATAAGTATTCATCCAGCATAATTCTGCGAAAACGCATTCTTTCATTCGTTTGTCTTGCTGTCAGAGAATAACTCGTATCTTAAAGTCAGGCGAACTACATTTCTTATAGTGCAATCACTGGTCAAGTGGGGACCGTAAAGCTGTTCCCATTCTAAAATATCTAGCTTCAGTTTTTCTTGGATTGTATTAGAGTTCTCTCAAAGAACACAAGTACAATTGCATTGTAAAGTCAGATTGTCCATTTATAAGTGTCTCTTACATGTTTAGAATAATAAAAAATGGATTAAGAAGTCGAAGTCGGAAAATGTACGTTTACGATTATTTGTCAGCAGGCCAGTACATTTATACACGCCACGGTAGAGCAGCGAATGCTGAAAAACAACCAATACCAGCAGACTTTCCGAGTTCCTGTGCCAGCAGATAATCGAAACGCAGAAGCGGTAGCCATGAGGTTAACCAGCTCATCCCTGTGTTCACAAAAGGCATTCTTTCAAACCCTCTGGTTGTCCTGTTTATAGTCCAACCCATATGTTCTTACCCACATCGGACCGCGTCGCGTTGCAGCGACGAAAAACAAACGTAACCCAAAGGCACACTCCCCTTTCCTTGTCCCCTGGCGGAACTAGGTCATTATTCGTTCTTACAGTCCGAACTTGTCTTGAGAACTTCAACCTTCCCCCGTAACTACTCTTCATCGGTTATTTTTCGATCTTCGTTACCCTACCGTGACGTATGTTGTTTGCTGACCTGATAGACAATAATAGAAAACACATGTTTGTCGACTTTAACTTCTTAAATGTTTATACACGTATCGTTGTAGGACTGAAAATTAAATAACTTTTGCCTAGATGAGTCCCTTGACTAATTCATTAGGTTCACTAATATGAAATAATCGCTAAGGAGGCTGGCAAAACATTTTTGAAATAGCTCGTTTTGCTCACACTAACCGGTGAATGCATTTGATAGGCCTGTGTTTCGGTAAAGATTACTGACAACGATCAATAAATCAAAAATAACCATACCCGTTTTCCTAGTCTTTGTCCGTAATTTCTTATAGCAAGTCGACATGCGCCTGCCCCTGGGGGTCTAAATCGAACCCCTAATCATAAGGGGCGAGTATGTCCTGCAACCCGATCGGTTAGTGTCCCTCTACTATCGTTAGTAAACCCACTGGTAACGCGCAAGACAGCGAGCCCGTGGTTCAGGAATTGGGGTTTAGGACTTCCAACCAACAGGTCTGGGCCGCAGGGGCTAAAACCTGGGGTTGGGGATGACTGACTGACGGTGGCCGATAAGTCAAAAAAGGTCATTCCAATCCCCCTGGTCTCTATCAGTAACATCATTACGTCTATACATATATTTGAAGTAATATTTTCCGGTATGAATTTAAAGGAGGCGTAGGTAGCAGAATTTATTGAACCAATGAAATTCGCGTCGGCTTCTCAACTGCAAGCTGTCGCTGCACAACAAAGACAACAAATGAGAAAAGTACAGAGATTTGAATTTCCATTAAAAAAGCAAGCCATAATAGCAAGGTCATGGTTTACTGCACGCGGACTAATCCATAACAATGGTAAATTATAAACCCAACTTAGAAAAAAAATTGGAAAGTTAACACGCAGAGGGGACTGAGATTTACCAGTTAAGCTGAGGTTGACCGCGTGATCCAAATGTGTGCATAGGTCGAATTTCTCCCGTCGTATGTAGGCTGCCTCCAAGTAACGCAATATCCGAGTTCTTCATGCCCGAACTAAGGCTCGGAGAGATTTTTTGCGGTTAACGGAGTGACCGCTATCTAGGAGGTGCTTTGTGATAGAAGAACAAGGAATTTTATTTCCCCGCTTTAGAAGCCATTTAGGCAGGCGCCCAAATGGCCTGGCTGCCAATCGCTTTTGCGTTCGTCCAATGTGCATGCATCCACAAGTGCACGTGGATTCATAAACACAATTTAAACTGGTGCGCCATGACAAGGTATTCTCTGCCTTTGCAATAGGAATAGCTTTGGTGGAAGTACTGAATATGAGTTCGGTTGCGTTGTATTTTCTTACAGTGGCGCATTTCAATCGTCACTTAAGGTATTTGAAATGTTGTCATCCTTAAATGGTAAGGATATTACGGCGGGCTTTTTGAAATAGATTGCGCCGTCATTTTGATCGTAAGGTGTTGCTGCACTTTTGTATGAGACGTGTTGGGTATCCACGTCTAAGCAGGACTGTTTTAAGTCAGGCAATTTCTGCATCTATTATCGCGATAGAGGAGATGTTTTTCGCTCTTTGAAAGGGATTGTACGCATGGATTCGCTCCCGTTGTATAGGCACAAAGCTCAGGAAGTGTAGTTATGGACCTTTTTATGTATCCTTATGGAAAAACCGATCGTCTTATGAAACCATCTTCGTGTCCGGTCATAAGAACGTTAATGAAAGACAACTTGTTTTACTGCTAATTTTCATTGTGAATTTTATATTCTGATGGAGATTATTTATAGCCCTGGTATGTATAAGGGCTCTCTGAATGTTAAATTCCTAATTTTCTTTCCTAAGTTGTCTTTTTAAGTTATCGTTCTTTTTGACTAATTTGTGTGCAGCAAATGATGGCCTTGCTATTATGCCTGGCTTTTTTCTGTGCTGTGCAGCGTCAGATTGTAGTTTATACGCCGTCACAGAGTTTGTTTGTTCCAAGAAATTCTGCTATCTGTGCATATAAATATATATATATATATATGTAGATAAGGTGATACCGACAAAGACAAGGGAGACCGGAATGGCCATTTCTGCCTTATTAGCCGTCATCAGCCAGTCAACCCGAACCCCAAGTGTGGATTACTTGAGATTCGAACCCGGGATCTTTGGTCATGGAGTTTGACGCTCTACCATTAAGCCACGGGCCCGTTGTCCTGTCGGTTGTGATCGGGAATATCAACCAGGTCTCTTTTATTTTCCTTTTAACTCCACTCGTCTCATCCATCGACGCACAAAACCTCTGGAGCGACAATCCCCAGGAGACAGGTTGAACAGATGCTTAAGTCCTGTTTGGTAAAGTTTGCTGTCACAACAGTGAGTCTTTGTTCGATTAAGTATAATGTTAACAGTGCTCCGTCAGACAGGGCACTCGGGCGTTAATCAAACCTCACACAGTCCGTGCATAGCGCAACCAAAATGCCACGCATGGGGGTATGGTGGTGGTGGTGGTGGTGGTGGCGGCGGTGGTGTTGGTGTTGGTGGTGTTGGTGTTGGTGGTGTTGGTGTTGGTGGTTGTGGTGGTGGTGGCGGCGGTGGTGGTGGTGGTGGTGGTGGTGGTGGTGGTGATGATGGTACTCCTGACTTTTGACCACACACCGTGCGAACGTCCTGCGCCCAACACACGCATCAGATGACTGACCCCAAAGAGTGCGATGTCGACTCTGAAGACTCCATCTACACAGCCCTTCGGTGCATGTCCTCACTATAGTAAATCGGGGATGCTTTTAAACTATCACGATGCGCTAAAAGTCGTGAGTTGGAACGCTGCCAACTTACAAGATAACACGGTCCTCCTAGGCCGATTAGTCAGGCAACAATGGCTCCTCTTTATTGTGGCTCAATTTATATCCGAGCTACTTTTTGGCTCCTTAAAAATCTGGTCCACCGCGTGCGAGCCGGACGTGTGCTTGGCACGCACAGACTGGTCGTTCAATCTTGTCCACTACCGCACCCCATTCTGCCTCCGGTTGATCTGACTCACGGTTGCGGCCGGGCCAAGGTGGGTGAGTGAGTGAGGAGACAATGCGGCAAACTGATTTGTGCACAACTCACTGTTCAGCACCCACCCCATGGAACATACGGAGGATACCATCACATACGACAGTCGAGTTGCCAATACGAGACAGGCGAGAAGGCTGGAAAAAAGGGTTCGAAAATAATATCCGATTATAGACTCCCTTCTTCTCATCATCTTGTGGACGCCGAATTTTTGTGCACATGTCTATATAATGTAGACATTTGAAACAACAGTTCCTTCCGCAGTTGACCTCACGTTCTGGCCGGCAAATACGTGGACGATAAATATGTTTTGGACGAAAAAGAGTGGTCAATGATTAATGGGCGTTTTGGCAGATTTGAGCAACCAATAATTCTTAATGATAATTTTAGTTCTGCATTTCCAGGAACTGAATTTACATTCAAACGAAAGCTAAGACAGTTTCAATGCCTAGACGTCCTCGTACGCGAGTTAGCTAATGAAACACTTAACAGACGTATCCAGAGCTCATCCTACACTCTGAGGGAAACCATACTATCTCTCATAAAAGCAATTCAGTCCGCAGCTTGCTAAATCGAGCCACGAGTATGTTTCTCAAAGACTAATGGAAGTGAGCGCCACCAATGGCGACTAGATGACGATATGCAGTCGACGCGTACTGGCGCAGACTTCATTAAAACGCGGAATCGTTTGTTAGAGAGGATGAAAATTGTTAAATGTTTTCGTACGTGGCCCGAAAATGTGACGAGCTGGAAAACTGGTTAAGAAACTTTAGGCAATAAATCATGTTTTGTTGCCAAATTATCTTGCCCATTTTTAAACATATGCATAAACAGAATATTATATCCGAAAAAGGCAAGGTTGGCTGAAATAGCCATTTCCCGTGTGTTAGCCATCGTCAGGTAAGCAAACGTAAGAGATCCGGGTCGGTAATCTGAAAAAAGTGAAGCGTCCGCCGGATCAAGGGGATTGCATTGTTGACGTTTCAAGAAGCTTGACCGACTCTCCATTATCACAACGGTTAGTGCAAAAATCGACTACAATTTTGAGTAGACAGTCAAATTACAGTGAGCGGCCGATCTCATGAAATGCTGGTTGAAATTCTGAAATTCTTTGTCGATTAGGAAGGATTGCTTAGGCGCAGTTACAATACTGATTACCTTGCGGCATAATCCTATAATATTTCGAACTCGGCTGAATTTCAGCTTTTTAGTACACTGCTTTTTAGTCTCCTGTAGAGACCGTGCTTGGTTAACAAAGACTACTTAAGTAGCATGCATTTTTCCCATTGGTTTTCGATGGTCTTGCAAATTCAAAAATATCTTATAGAAATCACAAACAAAAACATGCTTTCTTTCAGTCGATTAATAGGTAATCACGTCTGCTTTACTTTTTACTCAAGGAAGGAGTATAATTAGGTTTAAAAGAGTTTTTAGTTATGAGATTTTTTAAGACCGCGCAATGTCCATTCACGTATCATCGTACCTGGCCGTTTACCACAGCTCCTCATGGAATGTTAAACATATTCCGCATCCATTTGAAAATTTTATAGACTCTGTATGATATCTGTTTAATGACATAGAAAAACATGTGATTTTCTTTACGCGAAATGCATGCACCTCGTAAACTGAAATCACTCTGTGCTACTGCAACGAATGATCAGGCTCTAAATTATTCGGTAATTAGAAAACTTTTATAAAGCCTTATTACACTCCTTCCTTAAGTACAAATATAAAGAAGATGTGATTACCTATTAATTGACTGAAATAAAGCATATTTTTGTTCATGACTTCTATAGGATATTTTTGAATTTGCAAGACCATCGAAAATCGATGGGAAAAATTCATGCTACTTAAATAGTGATTGTATACCAAGCACGGTTTCTACAGGAGATTTAAAAACAGTATGTTCAAAAGCTGACATCCCGCCTAGTCCAAGATGTTATAGGATTGTGCCACAAGAGAGTCAGTATTACAACCGCGCCTAAGTAATCTTTCCTAATCGAAAACCATTTCAGAATTTCCGCCAACATTTCATGAAATCGGTCACTCACTGTAGTTGGCCTTGAGCTTATCGATTTTCCTCCTCTTTCGCCGTCTTGACCCTGTGATCGCCGTTTATGAATGTCAGTGGCCTCCTGTGTTGCGCATCGTCACGTCAATTGAGATCGATTGCGTTTGTTCCCCCTTCTGGGTGAATTAGTCGACGGGTCATGTTTGCTCAGTATTCTTGAGCTTCGTGTGACCGTCTTTTAATGGACATGGCGTATGCTTATCAGTTCCTTGAACGTTTTAAACATCTAAAACCAGAACCAGGTGAATCCGTGGTATCTTTCGATATCATTTCGATCTTCACCTACATCCCACAACAACTACCGTTAGACTTTGCGAGACAACTCCTGACTGACCGCTACGACGAGGGAGACAACCACCTAAAACCGAAAATCTCAAGGAGCTGTTACGGTATCGCCTAAAAACATATTTCACCTTTGGTGAACAAATATATGAACAAATCGAAGGCATCCCTATGGACTCCCCCATATCAGGACTTATTGTTGAAGTTGTCCTTTAACGGATAGCACACTTGGTGTTCGCCAAGTATCAACCAAAGTTCTGGGCTCGTTACGTCGATGACACTTCGACCATTGTCAAATCATCTGACGTGGAGCACCTTAAAGAATTTCTGAACTCAGTCGACCCAATTATCCAATTCATGATGGAAAATGAAACAAAAACCAACTTCAATTCCTCGATGTCCTTGTGCGTCGGTGTGCAACTGGAAAATTGCAAACTACAGTTTTCAGAGAAGCCACCAATACAAGACAAATACTACACTTAAACTGTAATCACCCTCTCTCTTAAAAACGCAACTGTCTCCGTGCTCTATTCCAAAGAGTTGAAACACACTGCGGTATACCAACCGAAAAAAGAGTTGAACGACAATACCTTTATGACCTCTTTCCGGCCAATGGGTACCCAAGCTGCTTTATCAGGCAAAGCAAGCGCCGAGTAAACAGACAATGGCCACGAGAAGAAAAACCCAAAGTCTGGAGGGCTATTCCTTACATTAAGGAGTCTCCGAGGCAGTTTCGCGTCTTTTACAGTCCGCCAGGGTAGACATTGCCCATCAACCCCAGGCCACAATTCGTCGCCGTTTTGTGCAACCCAAGGACATACTGCCATCCACTAAGACCTCAGCAGTTGTCTATTAAATACGTTGTAACGATGACGACTGCAATTGCGTCGAGAAAACCGGACGAAGACTGAAGACCCGCCTACATGCGCACAAACTGGCAACTCGGAGACTAGACCCAATCTCACAGCTTGCGATTCACCATGGAAAAACTGGCCACAGGTTTGACTTTCAACATGCAAATGTCTTGGACCGAGGCACCTCAAGGCCAGAACATCTCTCACTTGGGGCTTGGTACTCAAATTCCAACCCCATCAATATGCCTCTAGACCATACGTCACCGCATACGCCATGTCCATGTCAAGACGGTCACACGGCGCTCAAGAATACCGAGCAAACACGGCCCGTCGACTAATTCACTCAAAAGGGGGAACAAACGCAACCGATCTCAATTGGGGTGACGACACGCAGCACAGGAGGCCACTAACATTCAAGAACGACGATCAGAGGGCCAAGGCAGCGAAAGAAGAGGAAAATCGATCAGCCCAAGGCCAACTAATTTGGATGTCTACTCAAAATTATTGTCGATTTTTGCACTAAACTATTTAGTAATGGAGAGTCGACCAAGCTCCCCGAAACGTCAGCAATGCAATCCCCTTGATCCGGTGGACACTTCGCCTTTCTCAGATTAGCCATAGACAGCCAGCCGTACCCCACTCCAGGTTTTCTGCACCCCTGGTTCTTGATTCTGCATTCCGTCCGTTGGAAATCTAAAGTCATAACGACTGAGCCACAGACTTGTTGTCCTGCCGGTCGCGAATGGGTACATTAAAAATGGTACAGGTGTGATCATCGATCGCGTTAGAGTGATAGATTTCTAACCAACTGGTCACAAGTTCGAGTTCGGGGATTATAAAAAGTCTTGGATTGTGTATGTTTGGGTGATAGCGCCTAATAAGCCGGAAATCGATATTTTAGTCTATTTTGTCTTTGTCGGCAATGCCAGTCTGCCTATATTTCTAGTGGCTGTTCGGCTGCCGGCGGGTCTCCGGATTGGGCCCCAGGGCACGGCAGGATCGGATTTTCCCGTAGTGCGGTCGGTGAGCGTCCCTCTAAGTGGTTATTTTACCATCTATATCCACTTACAAAGTACTCTGAGAAGTCCATTGAAGATTAGAATGTGATCCTAGACAAAGTAAAAGGAACGACTGTTGCAACCGACGGGATAATGGTTTCATTCGATGTAGTCCCCCTCTTCACCCCGATTCCATTAGATTAAGTGGGACGCTGCACCCAAGAACTCCTTCAGGCCTACACTACTGATATACCTGCCAACGCTCTACTCCAACTACTTTATGTTTGTCTAAAAACCAACTTTTCTTCTATCAAACAATGTTATCGACAACTGAAAGGTCCTTCTATGGGTTCTCATATATCTGGCTTTCTATCAGAAGCCATAA